GTCATAGAATAGATATAGCTCAGATGCAAAAGCAGCTCTAGGGTGACATACCCGCTTCACGATGACTTTACAGGCAGCTTACCAATCGGAAGACACGGAGATCGATTGTTGTACGGTTAATACGATGTGATTCAGAAATACACTAAATCCTCAGAAATCCGAATCTCAAAGCGCAAGAGTATAGCATAGAGGATATGAACTCGATTCCACCGCACTTTCAAACGTACATGCACAGTAAACTCAAAGAATTCAGACTACCACCGATTCCAGACTTAATTCCGGTGTTTTGGACATGGTCGTTGGAATAAATTAGTGGAGTGGGTTACGACCTACTCTGAAGCCTTTCGCCAGCATATGCTTAACTATGATTTCGGCTTTGCCACTGTCAGAATGACCGAAGAGAGTGAATCTCAGTCAACAGAATTACCTGGATATTGAGAACCGTCGTTTCTTGAAATTACACACATTGAACATCGCAAGCATGAGATGCTGCTCATACAGGATATTTCCGTACTATTTCTTCGGATAATTCCATACACAAGATGTGAAGTCTAACAATTTATCAAAAACAACAAAAATAATCAACAATTTCACTCGGCAGGAATCTCAATTTCGCCGTTGGCGATTTGCTCGATGATGTCATGTGGATGCTGGCCGTCAATGGTACATCCAACCGATTGTGCGGTACCTGAAGGTGAATAATGAGACTTATTGTTAGTCGCCAGCAACTCGAAGACTGTGCTTACCCAGAATCTCTTTAACGGTTCCCTCCAACTTCCTAGCCATAGATCGCGGCCTCATGATCCTTGCAATCTTGATGATCGAGTCCAGTGTGAGGTCGCCATTGTGTTTCACTAAAACAAAGAATCAAAGACGCGAACAATCACTCCTTTGCCAAGGAAGGAACTCACAAAAAACAACACCCCGGGGCGTTACCAGTCTATGCAAAAACAAGAGACTGGGGGATGAGAGCATATGGACTCTCGACCCTCGGCCAAAGGTGCGTACCGTTCTTAACCTTCTTGCGATCACGTGGAGGCTCCTTGAGTTCCTTTACGAGCAATGAAGCTGCCGATGGAACGACGTCGATCTTCGCAACACGATTCTGGATGGTGAGCTTGCATGTGACTTTGAGTCCCTTCCAGTCCTGCGTGGCTTTGGCGATGTCATCACCGACCTTCTTCGGGGAAAGACCCAGAGGTCCGACTTTGGGGGCAAGAGCTGAGGTGGCTCCTACTTCCCCACCCACACATCGCAGATAGACTGAAAAAAA